CGTAGAGGGCTAAATCCAATTGTTAGACACAACTTGCAGATCCACTACATCAATGGGATTTCGACAGGTGTTGACTCAGCAAAGGCCAGTTGATTCACTGGACCGTTTGCTGCTGTTGCTGCTGCTGGCTTGACACCAGTTCTCAAATTTATTCCTCTTTTGAGTTGGAAACAACTTGACATTTTGAAGGGGAAACATAAATAACAAAACATGAATACAAAATTTCAGACAAAAACAGGAAAAGAAAAAACAATATTTTTTTTAGCTTTTAAAAACCAATTACTCTATTTGTAAAGTAAGCTTTCGTGGGATGAGTCCACTTCCTCAGATGTAAGAGTGGGATTACCACGCTCCGTGTCTGAGGTAGTGAACTTGCCCACAGAAGGTCACATTAAAAATAGAGTAATTGGTTTTTAAGATGCCAGAACAATTTATGTAATCTTTGTTGTTTATAGTTCTTGCCTGATGTGCTAGCACAGACTAACACAACTACTTCCTCTAAAATGATGACTTTTGAGTACAGAAGAAAGCAAATCGGACAAATGATCATCTTGCTACCATTCAACATCTCTTCCCTCAGGCTCCCTTCCTAAACTTGGTGATCATGGAAAACCGACAAGAGGCAGGTTGAGACCACTGTGGCCTGAGACATTTCCCCATCTTCCTGCTTCCCAACTGAAACATCAGGAGAATTTCTTTGGGGTTCAGGAGGGTGTTCCAGAAGGACTCCTGCCCTCTTCGTGCTATAAAGGCCGACTTCCTTCCGGAACCATCTGCCATTGCAACATCTGGACAGGAGCCATCCCCTCGAGTCTTTTGAACCGCAGATTATAGGGTGGCCTTGAATGACGTCGTTCTTTCCTCCAGTCAAAATGAATTTGAAATTTACGAGGATCCCATTCTGAACAAATTAAGACTTGATGTAATTCGGCGAATCAGTACAGTAGGACTCGATGTAACTCAGTGATGTGAAACGTGTGTGTGAATCTGAACAGAGACAACAGGGGGTTAAAATTAGTGTCTTAATTAGATGGCTTGACAGTTGGGTGTTGTGTATTGCAGGCATACCATCAGAGGTGGAGTTGGCAGGCGTTGAGTGCACAGATGCCTTCAGCAAAACATCTGGCTGTGGGTGAAAATGGGGTCAGAGAGCCATTTCTCCTTCCATGGCTATGGGTCAGGACTGCTGGGGCATGTAGTCCTGAATATCTAGAGGGCACCAGTACGAGGAAGGCTGCTTTGTAGGGAGAAAGTCTGACTGAATTTTTTCCCCCCCACATCTTAGTTTTCTATGTGCATGGATCAAAATTGTTTCGTGCAAAGCCACATCCAACCAGGAAAGTTTCGCCCTGCAAGGCCACGTCCTCCACCGCTCAATTACAAACTGAGAATTTGGCCAGAGAATTGTCTGTTCTTCATGGTCTTTCTCGAGTTTCTTGTTTCACGCTCCCCTCCTGACCCGCTAAGCGGTCCTTCTCCGGAGATTTTAATCTGTTCTTCTGTTATCTGTGGCAGGTTGACTTCTACCAGAAGTCTCCCCAGCAGCTCATGCGGACAGAACAGGACACATTCTTCATTTCTAAAAAATCTCAATAGGAGAGACTGTTTCGGTGGTGCCAAGGAAGCTCTCCCCCCGCCCCCAGCCTGAATGGCACATAACTTTGAAATATTGCAGATTCCCTGACAGCCTCACCCAGGAGCGGCCAAGTTTCCAAGGGTGAGCAACTCAGATGATTTTATTTATTTATTTATTTATTTGATTTATGCCCCGCCTATCTGGTTTACTCGACCACTCTAGGTAGCTTCCAGTATAGGATAAAACAATAAAACACAAGAACGTTACATAATCATTTGATACAGTTACAATAAAATAGAATGAGAATAAAATAAAATGATGTCGTGGAGGTGCTTTAAATGCTGTCAACGGGGAGGGAGGCCTTTCGATACACCCACCATAGGGAGGAGGGTTGCGGACGACCATCCAAAAGTTGCACATTCTTTGCATCAATCAAATTTTGTATGTGTAACATGCCGTCAAATGGGAATTGACCCACAGCAATCTTAACAGGTTTTTTCAAGGCAAGTGAGATATTTCAGGAGTGGTTCTACCAGTCCCCCAGTCAGTTTCTGTGGCTGACTGGGGATTCAAACCGTGTTCCTCCAGAGTCCCAGTCCGTCACTACACATCCCTGAAACTGTCCGGAGCAGCTTTCCCCCACCTGGTGTCCTCTAAATGTGATGGGCCTACAAGCTCGTGAAGTCACACTTCTAGGAGTTGGTCCAACTTATCTGGAACCATGAGGCTGCCGAAAGGCTGGTCTTAAAAGATCGTGCCTTCTGCTGGTGCAGAAACATGGGACGTGCCAACCTTCTCCAACCTGCTGCTCCTAGAAGCCCAGAGTCAACAAGGATAGCAGGGTAGAAACATGGGAGTGGATCTCCTAAATCTCTGGAGGGGACTCAGTTACGGAAGCCTGGGACAGGGGATCCGATTTTGCTAGCACGCCAGGCAAGATGTAATCCTAGAAGTGTACACACAGCCAAGCAACGGAGAATACAAAAGGGGCATTTCTTCTTCCGCATACTGTTTTGTGTTTCAGGTTTCCTGCTGCTGTTTAGAACTCCTTCTTGTCAGGTCGTGGAAAGATACTTTCCTCTCTGACATGACAGTAGGCATAGGAGTAAACACTGGCCTGCATCACTGATTAATAAAGATTAATCAAAGTAATTAACTTTGTCTCTTCCTACTGTATGGCAAGGAGTAAAGGAGGTTCCTGAAATTTTGGTAGGGGATTTGGTTCAATTTTTAAAATTCTTTTAAGGAAATAATTTGGCTGTTCCTACTGTACGGCAAGGAGTAAAGGAGGTTCCTGAAATTTTGGTAGGAGATTTGGTTCAATTTTTGAAATTCTTTTAAGGAAATCGTTTGCTTTTATGCCACGATTTTGCTGTAGGTAAGAAGGAAGGAAGGAAGGAAGGAAGGAAGGAAGGAAGGAAAAGAGAGAAGGAAGGATTAAAGATAGGGAGAAACAAGGAAGGAAAGAAGGAAAGGACTGTTGATAGATAAAAGGAAGGACTGATGATGGATAGAAGGAAAGAACGAATGAATGATTGATGATGGATAGAAGGATGATGGATAGAAGAAAAGAAAGTGGAGGGAAGGAACCTAAGGAACCATTATAACAAAAAATAATAGGCATTATATCAAATATGTAATTGAAAAATACTCTACAAAATGGCAAATAATTTCAAGTATCATGTATCCGAGAACAGACTTCAACTATAACATCTAACACCTCAGTGCTTAAGTGTAAGAAACATCTGCCCACTTTCAAAATTTACTTTTTAATAGTATTATAAAGTTTTTAAAAGAGGGGTTGTAACACAGGGTATGGGTTCTGTTGCTCTCTTTTATCAATCCTACATAGGATTAGGAGTCTTTGGTAAGGCTGTAAGGTCATGTATTTTTTTGTTTTCTCTTCTTATAGATCTTGCCAAGGTGCGGCTCGGGGGGGGGGGTCTGAAACATGCCCCCTCCCACTGTTGCAAGAGGAGCGAAAGGCGGGAGGGGGAGTCACGAAAGCGACTCTGATTTTCATTTTGCAAGCCAAACCCAAAAACAAGCCCTTTCAGGGAGCTGCCTTATCCTCACCGTCTTATTGAGCTGAGACAATACGAGAGTTGTTAGAGACTCCGCATTAAATAACACAGTTGGGCAATTAGACATGCCAAGACATAAACCTTGCGAGGTGAACCTTTCCTGTCAGGCTGGTGTTTGCCAGAAGCTCTCAAAAGTCTCCCTGAGGGGAAAAGGGCAGTTTTCATTGCTTGAGTTGACCTGCAAAGAAAGTTTGCTTTTAACAGATTTACTGCCGGTTAATGGGCAGGGAGTAAAAGATGCATCCAGATGACAGGCAGATTTCTCATAAATTCCAATTCTGCTTCTCATCTTATATGGTTCTGGCTTACCGGCTTTGGACATTAACCGGGCAACTGGACATGGCCACAAGAGAGAGAGGGAGGAGTTGTGCGTTGCACAGGTGGGCGGAAAAGGAAGTGTCTCCCGACCCCTCAGAGACATATAGAGAGGCAGTTTAGTGTAGTGGGTAGAGTGCGGACAGGTCCAAGTTCTCACTGAACTCTGAAAAACACCAACTGACACCCTATATCTCAGCCTGGCTTAACTTACCGTATTTTTCCATGTATAAGATGTTCCCATGTATAAGACGCCCCTACTTTTCTAATCCAAAATTAAGAAATCTAAGTGGGGATTAGCAAATGTAGGGGGAAATGGATCAAAGCACTGCAGGATCACTTTGATCCCTGCTTTCCCCTCCACTTGTTTTTGTTCTCTCCTCAGCTTACTTCCGTGTACAAGATGACCCTCAATTTTCAGTCTACGGATTTTAGACAAAAGTATAGTCTTATACATGGAAAAATATGGTATTTGTTTTTATTTCTTTTTTTTATAAGCCACCTTCCCCCCCCCCATAAGGGAACTCAAGGCAGCTCACAGTATTAAAAAGAACAGATTTTAGAAGACAACAAATTATACATCAAAAGACAATTAAACTGTAATAGTGATGTAAAGACACTGAATGATTCAAAACTTTAAAAACAGACTTAATTTTAAAAGAGTATTCAGGGACTCCAGTCGTGATTGTTAAAAGCCTGCCTTGCAACAGATTCTGTTGAGGAGGGGCTGGCATTATTATCATCCTCGTATTGCAAGTGGAAAGCTCAGGGAAAAAGGACAACAATGAAACGATTTTAACTACTTTAGCCCATTGGGTTCACAGCATAAGCTAGATATTCTTAGTTTCACTTCTGTCTTTCTACCTACAGTGTGCCTCCTGCAATTCAGAAGCCATCCAAGTCAAACAATCACCGTTTTTCAGGTCAAGACAATGTTGCAGA